AAGAAAGCCACTCCGTGAACTGGTTAAAGGATAAGGTGGTTTAGTAAGGTGGATAACAATGTATAATGGCATAGGAAATATCATGGAAACAGAGCAAATTCACAGGATCAGAAACAATTCAGTTAATATAATAGAGGACATTGGATTAAATGACGATTCAGGTCATGATACAGGCTGTTTGTCATAGAAGCCGTGCAGAAGTAAGAAAAACACTCAAAACCTTTGGGAGAAAACTTCCTTCTTCCAAACTGGATTCAGAAAATACGTTTTTCTTTCCCTTGCATTCTGTCTAATTCCGATTTCCTTGTTTGTCTTTCCTCAGCATAAGTGACAGATCGGCCTTGGAAGAGGAGAGAGGAAGAGTGACATCCCAGTCTCAGCATTTGAGGGTTTCTCCCCCCATCTTCACTGCCTTGTCCCCTGACCAGCTGATAAGAATGTTTTTCATCGAAAGGAGCTGGACTTGAAATGACGTTTATGCATATTGGGATGCATTTTGCAGATGAAAGGAGGACCTTAGGCTGTTCATCTGATTCTTTTAAAAGTAGTTCATTGGTACTACCTTTAAACTAAACTGTGCTCTCCATAAGAGGAAAGTAATCCCTCTGGCATAAATGTGAAATGCCTGCAGTCCTGTGGGTGACTTACAAGGGAATGTGTCTCCCTCTGGATGGAGTTGGGGGGCTGTTCCTGTTCCTTTGTGCCCCTCAGAGCCTGTCCAGCCTGGGGGGGGGGCACTGCTGCTCTTCGTCATGGGCAGAATGAGTCCAAAGAGAGAGAGGGAAGGGAAGAGGAAGGGAAGGGAGCCCATACTCCTCCACCTGGGAGAGAGGACAGGGTGCCCGCTGGCCCTCCCCTCAAGCCCTGGCCAGGAAACTTCCCCACCCGCAGCCTCCCTGCTCCAGGCTTCCTTTAGGCTTCTTTTCTGAAAGGTGGAGAGAAGAAGGAGAATGCGCTTCTGCCCAGAGATAAGAAGCCTTCTTCAGAGTGTGTCTCTGTTGGGGAAAGGAGTGTCAACAGGGAGGAGGGAGCAAGCATGTTCTGCTTCCCTGGAGACTAGGACGCAATGGAACAATGGCTTCAAACTACAAGAGAGGAGATTCCAGCTGAACATGAGGAAGAACTTCCTGACTGTGAGAGCCGTTCAGCAGTGGAACTCTCTGCCCCGGAGTGTGGTGGAGGCTCCTTCTTTGGAAGCTTTTAAACAGAGGCTGGATGGCCATCTGTCGGGGGTGCTTTGAATGCAATTTTCCTGCTTCTTGGCAGGAGGTTGGACTGGATGGCCCATGAGGTCTCTTCCAACTCTATGATTCTATGATTCTATGAAGAGATCCCTTGGTTAAACTTATTTGAATGAGGGAAAAAGGGAATTACATGTTCTTTTGCAAGTATGAACATGGTTGTCAAAGGCCAGAGAGGGCTGTGTACTGTTTGCAAGAAAAACATGGAAGCATTGAAAGCAACTCTGCTTTGCCAGATGAAAGGCACACATCTTCCCCCCTTGTTTACCAAACAAAAGGGGTCTGCAGGGAGATTTTTTTGAAAAGGATGCCTAACTCCCCAGTACTGGAGGGCTACAAATACTGTGTATTGAATGATGAATCGTTTATTTAATGTTACTCAGATTAAAGGAAAAAGAGGGGGGAAACTGTAAATGTCCAAGATTTCCCTGGAATAAGATAATGAACATGTTTTTGTCTGTGTGTGTCTCTCATTGGTTCTGCATAGGGAAGAAAAGGGGGTGTTTGGGAGTTTGCGGGATCGGGGAGTGAGAAGATGTGACCCATCCTGGATGGCAAGGGGCCCACATGTATGTTACGAAGGAGGGGATTAGTAACATGTCTGCCCTCGGAGGCTGGGAAGGTGAGCTGGGAAAAGGATTTTTCTGATCAAACTACAGCAGAGTCTCGCTTATCCGACATAAACGGGCCAGCAGAACATTGGATAAATGAAAATGTCAGATAATGCGGAGTCTCCTACTGTTATCCATCCGGCGCAGTGCTAGACACCTAGAATACTAACAACAGGGATTCAAAAAGTTAAAGCAAGGCAACACCTCCAGGCTAGAGAGTTCCAGCAGGAAGTGCCCGGATGCGGAAAAGGAGTGTGGAAATCACAGAGGGAAGGAGGGAGGGTGCTTCTTCTGGTCCTGCCTCTGTCCCCCTTTCCTCCCTCCTCCACCTCCTCCTCCTCCTCTTGCCTTTTCCGCTTATTGGGAATGGGGAGAGAGTTGGGGAGCACTCCTTTAGTTAAAGGGGAAATGCTGGAGGAAAAGGGGGGCGTCGGATAAGAGTGTCAGATAAGACAGAATGTCAGATAAGCCAAGGCCGGATAAGCGAGACTCCACTGTATAAGAAAGGAGCGACTGATACCACTAACAATGTGAGGAGAGAGGGAAAATATGCAAGGTATTGTTGTCCCAATCCAAATGGGAGTCCCTTTCAGCCATCACAAAGCAATGTGCCTGAGCATGTGATGCTTTGCATTTTCTTCCAGAAATACATGTGACGCTGATAATAAAAGAATGATTCGTTTTTAAATGGAGAGGGAGGGAACAAAGCCAGGCAACCCCCCAGGGACAGGCTCCAACTTGAGGCCAGGCTTGGCTTTCAAGGCCTCAAAGGGCTGAATCTGGGCTCAGGGACACTCCTTTTCTGGGAAATCAGGCCAGAGGGAAGAAGCGCCTGTTCTCAGCCTGGACACTAGAGGGCGCCAGAGCCACACTGTCCCAGCCCCCTTTCTGCCAAGAGAGGAATTGGGAGATGTAGTCCTTTCAAGAGAAATCAAGGTGGTCAAAGGTCTGGAAAAGCTGGGTGTATTTATCTTGGAGAAGTGCCCCAATCCCTTTTTTCAACTATCTCAAAGGGTGTCAAGGAAAAAAGGGTGGAGGAAGTTTGGTTTCAGCTATGTTCAGTCGCTTCCAACTCTTGGTGACCTTCTGGACCATCCCAGGCCAGAGCTCCCTGTTAGCTGTGGCCACCCCAGCTCCTTCAGAGTCAAGCCAGTCACTTCAAGGATACCATTCATCCATCTTGCCCTTGGTCGGCCCTTCCTTTTTCCTTCCATTTTCCCCAGCATCATTGTCTTCTCCAAGCTTTCCTGTCTTCTCATGATGTGGTCAAAGGACTTCATCTTTGCCTCTAATATCCTTCCCTCCAATGACCAGTCAGGCTTTCTTTCTTGAAGTATGGACTGGTTGGATCTTCTAGCTGTATTCTTGCATCTTATTTATGCGATTGTGATGTTTATTCAGTGTTTTGATGTTATTGTTTTGTAATGCGCGGCTGGGCTTGGCCTCATGTAAGCCGCTCCGAGTCCCCTTTGGGGAGATGGTGGCAGGGTATAAATAAAGATTATTATTATTATTATTTACATTATTTCTATCCTGCCCATTTCAGCCCGAAGGCGACTCAGAGCGGCTATTATTATTATTATTATTATTATTATTATTATTATTATTATTATTATTATTGGAAGGCCAGTTTGATATCCATGAGTGAAAAAAGAACGATTGTCTTCCACTCTGGAGACATCTCCAAGGGTTTTGGGCTTGGGCTTCTTCTTCTTGGTCTCTTCTGGTGTTTCGTTGAGTCCTCCAGAGCCGGGGAAGGGGGAGGTTTTGGACTGCTCTTCCCAGCATCCACAGCAGGGAAGAAGACGAGCAGAGGGAGTGAAGGGCAGACAGATGGAGGGGAGGAAGGGAGGGGGGAACTCCTTGCCACTGGACCACCCTCCCCTCCCCTCCTGGTTGCCATGGAGACACACCCCCTCCCACCCTCAGCAGAGAAGAAGCAGAACAAAATAGATCTCTGGCGGAGGCGGCATTTCTGCTGCTTTCCTGCAACTTGAGGAGCCCTATGAGGAGTGGCTTAAAGAGCTGGGCATGTTTAGCCTGGAGAAGAGAAGGCAGAGAGGAGACATGATGAGGGCCATGGATCAAGATGTGAGGGGAAGTCATTGGGAGGAGGGAGCAGGCTTGTTTTCTGCTGCCTGGAGACAATGGCTTCAAACTACAAGAAAGGAGATTCCACCTGAAGATGAGGAAGGACTTCCTGACTGTGAGAGCGGTTCAGCAGTGGAACTCTCTGCCCCGGAGTGTGGTGGAAGCTCCTTCTTTGGAGGCTTTGAAACAGGGGCTGGATGACCATCTGTGGGGGGGGGGGGGAGGCTTTGAAGGTGATTTTATTTATTTATTCATTCATTTATTTGGAGTGCTTCTACTCCGCCCTTCTCAATTCCCTAGGGGGGACTCAGGGCGGCTTAATTCGATGCCCAACAGTTCACAAATTACAATATCCAAAATACAATATAACAACAACAGTTAAAACTAGTTAAAACAATTAAATTAATACAATGGCAGCAATAAAATCATCTTGTGGTCAACGTTCGCCAATTCATAAATCCGCAATCCATCCAGCATCGTCATTGTCCTTTCCTACTCTGGTCGTCATTGTCTTTTGTCCATCTGCCAGCTTACCCAAAGGCCTGGTCCCATATCCAGGTTTTTAACTTCCTTCTGAAAGAGAGGAGGGATGTTGATGACCTAATTTCCCCGGGGAGTGCATTCCACAGGCGAGGGGCCACCACCGAGAAGGCCCTGCTTCTTGGCAAAATGGGGTTGGACGGGATGGCCCAGAAGGCCTCTTCCAACTCTAGGATTCTAGGATTCTATGACATCGGGGGCCTGGGATTTCTCAAAGTCTTCCCCAAAGCCTTTGGTTTTGTGCACCACTCTCCCCGCCCCCTCCTGCCTTCCGAGGGGATTCCCGAAAGAGCTTGGGATCCGCTCACTTTCTCTTTCCCTTTCAAGCCAGTTAGTTCTCCGCCTGCGGCCGGGCTTCTGCCCAGCACCCGGTGACGGCACGGGATCTCTCTTTTTCGATTGGCCGGCTCCTTTCCTTTCGGCCAATCCTGGCGCTCCTCCCTGGCAGTACGCAGCTGGGCTGAGAAGACAGAGAAGAAAACCTCCTTTGCTCCGGAGTTTGGCCGAAAGAGAGAGAAAAAAGGAAAGAGAAGGGGAGAGAGAGAGATGGCTGCGTCCCGGGGCGGCCCTTCCTTCCCCCTTCTCCCCGTCCTCCTGCTGGGCTGCGCGGCCTTCCTGACGGGGAGGGGGTCCGGTGAGTGGAAATGGCTGTGTGTGTGTGTGTGTGGGGGGGGGGGGGGTTAGGGTGTCCTCCTCTTGAGCCTGAGGGTCCTGGAGGGAAGCCCTGCCCTGCCCTGCCTTCCTTCCTTCTTTCTTTCTTGTGGGGCGGGGAGAGGGGTCTCTTCCTATCCTGGCGGGGATTGTCAAGGGGAGGGGGGAGGGGGGGAGGGAGGGGGAGGGAGGGCCTTCCCAGGTGGAAGCAACACTGGGGACCCCCTTGGGGGCCCTTCCTTGCTTCTTGCTTGCTGCTTTGTTCTTTTACTGATGTGTTGCTGGGCTTGGCCTCATGGAAGCCACCCCCAGTCCCCTGGGGAGATGATGGCGGGGTATCCATACAGGTATTATTATTATTATTATTATTATGAAATGGAAAGCCATGCCCCTGTGGCCCCTCTTCTTGCCTCCTTCTGGCACCAAATCTGTCTTCCTGGACCTTGCAACAATGCCCCCTTCTTCCTCCCTCCTTCCCAGGCTCCTCCTCCCACTCCCTGCGCTATTTCTACACTGCTGTCTCTGAGCCTGGGGAGAAGGAGCCCCAGTTTTTCGCTGTGGGCTACGTGGACGACCAGCATTTTGTTTCCTATGATGCCAAAGCCAAGAGGCGCATTCCTACCGTCCCCTGGATAAGGAAGGTGGACAAGGAGGACCCTGAGTACTGGGAGCGGAACAGCCAGATTGTGCGGAATGCTGAGCTGGGCTTCCAAGCGGACCTGGTGAATGTGCCCAGGTACTACAACCAGAGCGGAGGTGAGTGGAAGGGAAGGAGGGGGCCCCTGCTCCCCTCATCACAATCATTCTTCTTCTCAGAAACAGGGATTGGAAAACAGAGGTGGATGAAATTAGTAAGGGCCTCCTCATTCTTGACCATTTCCCCCTTCAGCCCACTTTCAATGCCATGACTGCCTCCTGCTGAGCATTTCCCCACACTGATCCACTTTCCATGCTATGACTGCCTCCTGCAGAATTCCTGGGCTTGGAGTTTATTGAGGGGGTCTTTAAACAGTTCATCCAGCAAACCCCTGGCCCTCCCTCAACTACAAGCCCCAGAATTCAGCAGGAGGCAGTCACAGCATGCAAAGTGGATTAAGGGGGGAAATGCTCAAGGGTGAGGAGGCCCAAAGAGAAGGCAAGTGGGGGGTGCAGCAAGGGCAGAAGAGTCTTCCTTGACAGTGCCGTCCTGGAAGAGGGAGGAGCAGCTCTGGGTTGCCTCCTCTTTGCTATCTCCACCAAAGAAACCTCTAGGCCAGTGGTTCTCAACCTGTGGGTCTTCAGGTGTTTTGGCCTACAACTCTCAGGGCCCTTCCACACAGCCCTATATCCCAGAATATCAAGGCAGAAAATCCCACAATACCTGCTTTGAACTGTGTTATCTGAGTATTCAGATAATGTGGGGTTTTCTGCCTTAAGATCTGGGATATAGGGCTCTGTGGAAGGACCCCCAGAAATCCCAGCCAGTTGACCATTTGTTAGGATTTCTGGGAGTTGAAGGCCAAAACATCTGGGGGGGACACAGGATGAGAAACACTGCTCTAGAGGAAGGTCCCCCCAAGGCTGGGAGAGTAACATTATTGTTCTTTTATTTAGTTGTAGTCCTTCTATTCCACCCTTCTCATCCCAAAGGGACTCAGGGAATAGCACAGAACACATATATGGAAAACATTCAATGCCAATTACACAATGACAAGGCAGACAACAGATATTTAGGCTTTTTCCAATAATTCGGCATCTTTTGGAGGCTGTGCTCAGTTCCGGCCACATGGGGATGCTGTTGCTCCATCTCCTTGCCAAAGAGCTTTCTTTATTTGCAAACTTTCCTCACAAACACCATGCCTAAAATACCTCCCTGGTTCATGCAGTTCCTATTCATCTACTCACATTGCTGTTTTCAATCTGCTAGGTGGGTGGGGAGCTGGGCTGAAGGTCAGGCACTCACCTTGACCAAGCTTTGAATTGTCAACCTTTCAGCTGGCAAGATGGACTGCAGCTGAAGCTGGTGATTAACTTACTGTGCTGAAGCCAGCCCTAAAATAAGAGGTGCCCCCCTCCTCACCCAGAGAGAGATCCCAGAGAGAGGAGGGATGCACTGCCTTACAAGGGAAAGGGGGGGGGGCACTTCCAGGCAGCCTGTTTCTGTGAGTGGGAAAAGGAAGAGCAAAGGCATCTTGGGAAGTGAGGATTCCGGGTACCTGGAGACAGGAAATAAAAATCAAACCCATGCCTCTCACCCCCACGCTCTTCTGTCATATTCCACTTTGGGCTTGATTGGTTTTAAGTTTTGCCATTCAGGGGATTTTCTATTAGAACCTTCAATTAATGTACACATTTACATTCCCCCCCCCTCCCCCCAGGAAGTGTTTGAGAGGAAGCCCCATTCAGTTTATTTATTTATTTATTTATTTATTTGCTTCATTTCTATACCGCATTTTTCAGCCTTAACAGGCGACTCAATGCGGTTTACAGGTATAATTATAACAACAATCTACAATCGATTAAAACACGTCATACAAACATCAGACTCGACAACATTAAACAATTAACAAATAAACGCCTCAATAACAATCAGAATCCGATTCTCAATCCTTATGCCATTCCTATATTCAATTTTACCGTCTTCCTGTGCTCTATAGTACTGGTTAGCCAAACGCTTGTTCATATAGCCATGTCTTAACCTTCCTCCGAAACGCCAACAGTTTAGTCTGGGATTTGCTTATAAGTGAACGTGCCTAGGATGGTGTTACAAAATGAGCTTCACAGAACATAAATAGCTTCATGTTTTAGTAAATGATGCTCACAGAAATTGGTATCCAGGAATGAAGCAAAGCCCATTGTCATGATTTTCTATTACATTTGTTCAAATTGTGGAGAATCCACACACACACACACCCCTCCAACCCCCCCCCCCCAATACTCTGATTCAATGCAGTTTCTATGTGGTTAAAACCAATACAGGTTAAAGTACAAGAAAGCCTGCTTATTTATTTATTTATTGATGTATTTATTTTGTTGATTGCCTCTCTATCCCGCCCTTCTCACCCCAAAGGGGGCTCAGGACTGCTCACAGCAAAGGATCAATTCTATGCCATGGATACATACATAAAATAAAACTACATATACATAATTAAGATATATGAAGCTTAAAAACCAGGAGCAACTTGAGAAACTGCAAGTTGCTTCTGGTGTGAGAGAATTAGCCATCTGCAAGGACATTGCCCAGGGGATGCCCAGATGATGTTTTCATGTTTTCCCATCCTTGTGGGTGGCTTCTCTCATGTCCCCGCATAGGGAGCTGGAGCTGACAGAGGGAGCTCATCTGCCCTCTCCTCAGATTCAAACATCCAACCTGTTGGTCTTCAGTCCTGCCGGCACAAGGGTTTAACCCATTGAGCCACCGGGGACTCCTGGAAAACAATTACTTATAATCAACACAATTAAAAACAATTACTTATAATCACACAAAGCAACAGCATATTCCAGGAGCCATTCTGGTTTTTACTTGCATTATTCATTATTGGCAGGGGTTGGGGTGCAGGGCCTTGGCAAAAGTGGCAAAACCATACATTTTTTAAATAAAAGCTTATTTTTAACCTAAGAGTCCACTCTGTAGGAATCCAGGTCTTAAAGCACAACTTCCAGTAGAAAGTAAGACCATAGAGTACCTGTGGAGGACCCGGAGATTCCTAGAGAGGCCATGAGGATGGTTTAAAAGATAATGCCCCACATTTGTTTTCCCAGCCATTAAGAAAGATAGAAAAGTGAGCTTTTGCATGCTGGAAACTAACTTTTCTCCCATGTGACTATCCAGTTTCAGGTCATTCTGACAGATGTGGAGTTGTAGTGAACTGTCAAAGTAACAATTTGAATTCTTAGTTCATGAAAATAAGAGCATTGTGAATCTCTAAACATTTGGGAGAAATGTGAGAGAGACATCTGATTCCAGCCATTCAAAAGTGCCCTTGTCTGCCTTTGTTAATGGCCTTCTCTTGCCTCCCTCCTTCCTTTCTGGGGGTCTCATTCCTTTCCAGGGACTCACACTTGGCAGGGGATGTACGGCTGTGAGCTGAGGAGAGATGGGAGCAAAGGAGGGTACGACCAGTTCGCCTATGATGGGAGGGACTACATCAGCTTTGACAAGGAGACCCTCACCTACACGGCAGCCGATGTCCCAGCCCAGAACACCAAGAGGAAGTGGGAGGCTGAACGGGCCAACGTCCAGTATGCTAAGGCCTACCTGGAGGAGGAGTGCATTGAGTGGCTGCGGAGATTCCTGGAGTATGGGAAGGAGACCCTGCTGAGGACAGGTGAAGGGAGTCTTATGAAAACCATGGTTGGGGTGAGGGTGGGGAGGGAGAGGAGGGCTGCAGTGGCTTCATCACTTTTTCATCCCCGTACTTTGTATGTCAATGGAAGGAAGGCAGGCACTCCAGGCAGGAAAGGGAGGGTGGGAGCCTGGACGGTTCCTCTTCAGCCTTTACAGCAAGGAGGGGAGGGGGGCATCTTGGAAGACTTCCCCAGATTTGGAAAGAAACATGGCAGAAGGAGGCTTCATTCCATGTTTTCCTTGCAGGAGGCTGGATCCTGTTTCATATGAAGCAGCCTCCCAACATGGAGCCTCCTTTCCCCTTTCAGCCTGAAGGGAGACGGTCCACCCTCTCCGCATTTCTCCTCGATGGGCAAATCCTGCCAGAAAGTGAAACAGGAGCACCCCATAAGAGAGAAGGAGAGGAAAGGGGAGGAAAGAGGAAACCTAATTGAAGACCAACTAGAATTTATTTTAGCCAATACTTTCATGGAGGTGAACCCAGTTCTTCAGATGAAGTGCAGAATGGTATTAAAATATCAGGTTATAGAGCATATTTATGCAGTTGTGGGAATGCTTTGATATCACTCTAGGTCAGTGTTTCTCCGCCTTCCTAATGCCATGACCCCTTAATACACGTTGTGGTGACCCCCAACCAGAAAATAATTTTATTGCTTCTTCATAACTGCCATTTTGCTGCTGTTAGGAATCATAATGTAAATATTTGATATGCAGAATGTATTTTCATTATCTCGACCACATTTGGCCCAAACTTGAATACTGGTGGGATTGAAGAGGGATTGGTTTTGTCATTTGGGAGTTGTGGTTGCTGGGATTTATAGTTCACCTACAATCAAAGAACATCGAGATATGATAGCCATGTATAAATATGTGAGAGGAAGCCACAGGGAGAAGGGAGCAAGCTTGTTTTCTGCTTCCCTGGAGACTAGGACACGAACAATGGCTTCAAACTACAAGAGAGGAGATTCCATCTGAACATGAGGAAGAACTTCCTGACTGTGAGAGCCATTCAGCAGTGGAACTCTCTGCCACAGAGTGTGGTGGAGGCTCCTTCTTTGGAAACTTTTAAACAGAGGATGGATGGCCATCCGTCAGGGGTGGTTTAAATCCAATATTCCTGCTTCTTGGCAGAATGGGGTTGGACTGGATGGCCCATGAGGTCTCTTCCAACTCTAGGATTCTATGATTCTATGATTCTGAACTCCACCAACGATGGAATTGAACCAAACTTCCCACACAGAAATCTCACGACCAACAGAAAACACTCAAAGAGTTTGTTGGGCATTGAACTTGAGTTTTGGAGTTGTAGATCACCTACATCCAGAGAGCACTGTGGACTCAAACAATGATGGATCTGGACCAAAGTTGTCACAGATAGTGAATATGCCCAAATGTGAAAAGTGGTGGAGTTTGGGGAAAATAGACCTTG